GATAACAGACAAAAAAAAAAAAAACTGAACTCATAGAAATTGACTATGGAGGCCTTTTTCCCACCACATTTTTAAAAATATTAGGGGTATTTTTGCCACATTCAGTGTCATTTTTGCCTCAAGCCCTGGTTCATTTTTGACCTGTAAGTGTTTTGCTCAGTCTCATACTGGTACATGGATTGCTTAAACCTAAAACCTTGTAATTTCCAGCTCAGATCTTTAACCACTAGGCCACACTCTAAAAAGAGAGGCACAAAAGCCATGTCATCATGCATGAGAGTTTGCTGATGTTGAACCAGTTTGAGCCAAGTCAAACATTTCTACAAGGCCTACAACAGACGACAGAACGCAAACATCTGTGTAAAAGAAGAATATGTTTTATCCATGTTCTGTGTATTTACTTTAGCTCCTGCCCTTGAAACGTGCTTATTCACTTGTTTTCACATCCCTTGTAGTAGGTCCACTGCAGTGATCCCTAAAGCTGCTGAAGGGTTGTGCTGAAGATCTTCTGAGTCCTGGACTGACAAGTCTAGACAAAGGCTATTTTTATCTAATGCTCTCTCAGGATACTGGGTTAAATGCTTGGTAGTGTGGTCTCTAGCCCATAATAGCTATTCCCATGATGCCTCATTCCAAAAATTATATTTGAGAGAAGCAAAAAACCTTTTTGAAGCAAACCAGACATTATAAGTTCAAAAGCAGAGCTTCTCAAACTGTAGCGTCCACGTGGAACGACATGACTCTGCAAATTTATAATAGGCTCTACTAAAATTTGATGTAATTTATATTTTTAATGGTCTATAGTCTATATACAATTTGAATACAGATCTGTTCCTTGTCAATAAGAAGTGTACTTAATTTTTACTGAATACTGAATGTACTGAATGTGTACTTGTAGTGTACGTAAAATCTTAAAAGCATATTTAAAAAAAACTGTACTTGCAGATAATATCATATTAATGAAATGAAAGGCCATTAACTGTATGCAAAGAGAGTACAATTTCATGACTATGTTTCTTAACACACTTAAATAGTTTTAAAAAGTGCCCTTCGTAATAGTCAAATCAAACGTTTTACTTTAAAGTAAACTGAAATCATTGTTTTAATATTTTGTTGTGCTTTAAAGAAGTACACTTATTATGATGTGTTTACTAACATACTAAAGCACATGTAAAGTAATTGATTATAATTTTAACTGTAGTTCTTACTCATCAATTGATCCTCTGCAGTGAATGGGTGCCGTCAGAATGAGAGTTCAAACAGCTGATAAAAACATCACAATAATCCACAATTAATCCACACATTTTCACTGGAGAAAGCAATATTATGGACACAGGACTCGTATTTCAGTTAGAAGCAATGTTTTGAAGTTAAAAATTTCTTGATGGGTTTGTTTCTTACAAACACACAGCTTTTTCGCTTCACAAGATGTTGATTGATGGACTGGAGTCGTGTGGATTACTTGTGAATTATTGTGATGTTTTTATCAGCTGTTTGAACCTTTATGCTGATGGAACCCATTCACTGCAGAGAATCCATCGGTGAGAAAAAGCTAAATTTCTCCAAATCTGTTCCAATGAAGAAAGAAACTCATGTACATCTTGGGCTTACAGTTTTGGTTTTAGCTCAGGATGATAGTCATTTCTTTCAGAAAAATGTTAGAAATGTTATACAATGTAAACAAATAAAAACAATATGAAGTAGACTGAATTTGACAAATATTTCACGCGCAGCATACCTGTGTTCCCTCTGTAAAGCACATGTAAAGTACTTGATTATAATTTTAACTGTAGTGTTTTATTTGATATTATATGAAGGTATATATTCATATAATATTATATATATATATATATATAATATAATTCATATAATATATATATTCATATAACTTCAAAGTCCCACTTAAGTGAGTCTTGCTCATCAATGGATCCTCTGCAGTGAATGGGTGCCGTCAGAATGAGAGTTCAAACAGCTGATAAAAACATCACAATAATCCACAATTAATCCACACATTTTCACTGGAGAAAGCAATATTATGGACACAGGACTCGTATTTCAGTTAGAAGCAATGTTTTGAAGTTAAAAATTTCTTGATGGGTTTGTTTCTTACAAACACACAGCTTTTTCGCTTCACAAGATGTTGATTGATGGACTGGAGTCGTGTGGATTACTTGTGAATTATTGTGATGTTTTTATCAGCTGTTTGAACCTTTATGCTGATGGCACCCATTCACTGCAGAGAATCCATCGGTGAGAAAAAGCTAAATTTCTCCAAATCTGTTCCAATGAAGAAAGAAACTCATGTACATCTTGGGCTTACAGTTTTGCTTTTAGCTCAGGATGATAGTAATTTCTTTCATAAAAATGTTAGAAATGTTATACAATGCAAACAAATAAAAACAATATGAAGTAGACTGAATTTGACAAATATTTCACGCGCAGCATACCTGTGTTCCCTCGGGGCCAATCACATCAAGTGCACCAGTTGTGCTGTATAGGAAACGGATAATCTTCTGAAAGTTGTCATCTCCAATACTCCAGGAGCCATCTACAAGGAAGGCCAGGTCTGCCTTGGCTGCTTTGCAAACTGAGAGAGAAAATTCGACAGACAGAGCAAGAGAGAGAGGAAGCAGGTGAAAAATCACTAGCTAAAATAAGAAATTCTCATTACTGTGTAAGCGCTGCAGTACAACAGATGTCAAATGATTCCAAACACTTCCCTTTCTCACTGACAGGATCTCCATCACAGCTAGCTGGATAAAACAAGGAGGCTTAATTAATTCCCAGATACCTCTGCTATACTCTGCCAGACTGTTGCTTTGCAGGATTTAGGGCTAAACACATACACTCTCGGTAACCTAAAAATGTGCTTTATGTACTAACATCTAACTGGTTTTATTCATGTCAAAAATATTATTTAGTGACTGAATCAATCTTAATAAATTAGGATATATCAATGAAATTCATTTTAAGGCTGATGTTACATATAAATTCATTTATTTTAAAGTGCTAAATGCCACATACTTACTACAGTAATAACTGAAAATTATGCATAGTTGCAAGCAACAAACCCTAACCAGACCCTAACCTTAACCCTGTAGTAAGTACTTAGTACATGTAGTTATTTAGTATTACCAGAACTTAATTGTGGAATTGCACTGTAATATTGTCACCTTATAATAAAGGCGTAACCTCAAAAGTCTTACTAGCACAATCAAAAGTGTTTGGAGCATTTCATTGGTTGGACGAGTCGCTGTTTTGAGTCTGAACAAGAATGGCACTGAACAAGACATGTCGTTTGCGAATAAACTAAAAGAATCAGGCATTGTGCTCGTAAACAACTTGAAAGAACTGGCAAATCTCATTATTGTACAAATAGGGGCTACTCATTCAGTTTGTCCATCTCATTCAGAACAAAGAGATAAATGGGTTGTTTCGGTAATGAACAACTCTGAATTTTAACGAAATGGATGAGTGATTCAATGACATACTCATAATAAACAAAAAAGTGCTCCCTTTCAGCCAATCTATGATGTACACTACAATTCAAAGTTTTTTTTTTTTTTTCA